GAAACCCTGTCTCTACTAAAAAAAAAAAAAAAGGAAAAAATAGCCAGGCATGGTGGCATGTCCCTGTAATCCCAGCTGTTCAGGGGACTGTGGCAAGAGGAACACTTGAGCCCAACAGGTTGAAGCTCCAGTGAGCTGTAATCGTGCCACTGCACTACAGACTGGGCAATAGAATGAGACCTTATCTCAAGAAAAAAGAAGACATATAAATTTAGTTAACTAGAGTATAAATAATCTAAAATGTGGCTCCTTGTAGACCTTCTTTGTGAATACTGAACACATATACCTAAGATGGTTTGCTGTGTAGGATAATAAATTTGATAATAAAACTTTTTATCATTTATAAAATATTTTCATGTAAATTATTTATTTAAAAGCCGTGTGAAGTAGATTGGACTGGCATTTTACAGATAAGAAATTCTAGAAAGTTGTTGACTGCCGGGTACTGTGATGCAACCATGAGATGTAACTGAGTTATTGCTGCCCTTAAGTTGCTCACAGTCAACTGTTAACTGTGGAATAAATGCTACGATAGGAATGAGCACATCAGTTTTGGGAAAACAGAGCTGTGGGGCTAATCTTAGAGAGGTTTGGACAGGCTTCCTAAAGTCACTTAGCTGAAATTAAGCTACTAATACTGGAGAATGAACTTTAACCTGGATATCTTGGCTTTATCTTCTGGGTCTTTTCGGCAGGCAGGAATATTTCAAACAATTTATGGAGTGTTTTCCAAAGAATATTATAGAAAACTTGGAATTCATCCATAATCCAAATATGAAGCTAAACTGATGGGATCAACAATGAAACTAATATTTTAAAAGCAGAGATTGGATATAAGATACCCTAAAATCAGCCTACAAAAGCAGTACTCTAGAAACATTTCAGATAAGGAAATACACAGGGCCTTTGTAATTTTTTAAAATAAAAGTTTAAAAGGCTGCATTACTACTCTGGTTCTGTGAGTTGAATATCCCTATTTCAGAAATCCAAAGTGCAACTGGGTGCTACTTGAGGGACTGAAACGGGAGGATCGCTTGAGCCCTGGAGGTCACAGCTGCAGTGAGCCCTGATATTGCTACTACTGCACTGCAGCCTGGGTGACAGAGCAAGACTCTGTCTCAAAAAAAAAACAAAAAAAACTCAAAATCTGAAATGCTTGAAAATCTTAAGCTTTTTGAGTATCGATATGACACTCAAAGGAAATACTTATTGGGGCACTTCAAATTTTCAGATATGGGATACTCAACTATGTAAGTATAATACAAATATTGCAAAATCTGAAATCTAAAACACTTCTGGTACCAAGCATTTTTTTTTTTTTTTTTTTTTTGAGACGGAGTCTTGCTCTGTCGCCCAGGCTGGAGTGCAGTGGCAAAATGTCAGCTCACTGCAACCTCCACCTCCCAGGTTCAAGCGATTCTCCTGCCTCAGCCTCCTGAGTAGCTGGGATTATAGGTGAGCACCACCACGCCTGGCTAATTTTTGTATTTTTAGTAAAGACGGGGTTTCAATGTGTTAGTCAGGCAGGTCTTGAACTCCTGACCTCGTGATCCTCCCTCCTCCACCTTCCAAAGTGCTGGGATTACAGGCGTGAGCCACCTCGCCTGGCCACCAAGCATTTAAATGATAAGGGACACTCAACTGGTAATAGTGTTGCTCGATGGAGAATCTGCTTTTGAATCTGAGCTCTTTATTAATTACTCTGTAAACTAGAATAAATCATTTAATTTCCATTTTCTGTCTAGAGAGCTTTGAGATATGTGATAAGTCCAAAAGGAATATAAATCTGAAAAACAGTATAATGCTTTTTGTTCATTAAGCTGGATTTGAGATGATCCTGCTAATGATGGAGTCCCATGTGAATACCACATTGATCAAGTAGCTTTTTTTCTAAATATACATTAGGTAAAGATGTTTTTTTCTTGTGGGAAAGAATGGGAATGTTTTCATTTCTTTACTAAATAGCCAATAAATTGAGATGTTGGTGCCTTTGAAATTGGATTTAGTGATATGTTTCTCTCATTTTGTTTTATCCTAAGTGAGGGATGTCCACTGTTGGAGCAGTTGAACATTTCCTGGTGTGACCAAGTAACCAAGGATGGCATTCAAGCACTAGTGAGAGGCTGTGGGGGTCTCAAGGCCTTATTCTTAAAAGGCTGCACGCAGGTAATACTCCATGTAGGGTCTGTGAAATTCAGAAGAATCATGAGCTCTTTGTAGGCAGCCCCAAGATGTTTGTCTTGAGGGAAAGGTTAGTTGTATGTATTATTGACCAAAGACACATGCTTACCAGAACTTAAAGTGTTTTCCTTAGGATAAAAGAATGAGAAGAATTAACATCTGACCAAAAATAAATTTGAGGAGGAGGGAGACAAGGTGGGAAGATTATATTAAAGATATACCATGGTCAAGAAGAGTTTCATGCAGCTTAAATTGTGCTGAAAAGAAAACTTGCTGTGTTGTCACTGCCTGATACTTTGAACTGGATAGGCAAAGAAGGCAGTCTTAGCAATTGCCACTTGTTTTTTTAACCACCAGTGTTTCTTAAATATGCCAAGTGTATAGCAACCTGCATTTTATAGTATTGATACTTATTTCCTGCCAGACACATTACAAATCTGACATATTTTGTCATTAAAAATTTTATTATCTCAGCCAGGCGAAGTGGCTCATGCCTGTAATCCCAGCACTTTGGGAGGCCGAGACAGGTGGATCACCTGATGTCAAGAGATCGAGACCATCGTGGCCAACATGGTGAATTCCCTGTCTCTATTAAAAATATAAAAATTGGCCGGGCACGGTGGCTCACGCCTGTAATCCCAGCACTTTGGGAGGCCGAGGCGGGTGGATCACGAGGTCAAGAGATTGAGACCATCCTGGTCAA